ATAAGAATTTCAGGTCTATTAATAGGGATATGGCCAGGGTCCGCTGTTAGATATCACGGGCCCTGTACAGCCTACTTGACAGGCCCCCCACCATCGCCAGAGGAAAATATCAAAATTATATTTATGGTAAAAATACACTAAAAAAAGTTATTAATGTACACAATCCCAACAAAAATTCCTTTTAAATCTAAATGATAAAACTGTACTGAGTTAATAATAAAGCTGTGTGTGTAATTTAGGTCTTGGGCAGGCAACCATATGTTACACTATGGAAATGCTGCAGGTCCTAATTTGACAAGCATATGGATGCAGGTGTACAGCCCTGAGACAGTGAGCATTCAGGGCCACTTCCCCATGCTTGCATACCCGCCAGATTAAAACCTGTGTTCATACAGCTGTTGTGTCCCCATAGCGTAACAGGTGGGCCCAGCCAAGTGAACAACCACCTCATTCATGCTGTACAGGCCAGAGGACCTGTGTGAATGTGGCATTTTTGACAATTTTTTTTTCCTCATCCCATTAATTTCAATGGACTCCCTAATGTGTGGAAATATGCAAAAATACTGCAGGCATATTATTTGAAAAGTGTGTTACACCTAACCACACAGTAGTGTGGTGCCATGCGTTTTGGTGGCTGTAAATGCATCTGTGTTTACTAGATGTGTGGAGGTGCAATTAAGTATTTATGTTACCTACGCACATCTGCAAAGGGCATTGCGTTTCTTTGCTGTGCAGGAAAATGCATGCTCTTGAATGCATTTCTGCACCACAAATGTTGTGAACAAGTCCTAAGTGCCAGTTCACACTACAAAAACGCGCTCTGGATACATTCCGGACTTTTGCTTACAGTTCACATCACACTCCGTTCTGGTGCAGTTTTAATGCAGTTTGCTATGTTCCAGTATAATTCTGTGCAGAAAAAAATGTAGCATGTCCTACTTTTTTTTTCTGCACCGGAAACTGACTTGAACTGACTGCATTTGTGTGAACTAGGGCCATTGGAATACATGGAAAACACTGCATGCATTTTTGATGCAGAAAAGAAATGCACTGGACTGCATCTAGTGTGAACTACCCTAAGGGCCAGTTCACACTATAGAAATGCAGTCCAGATGCATTCCGGAATGCATTTTTGCATGCACGTTTTTGGCACGTTTCAGTGCATTTTTTATGCATTCCAGTAAATTTTTTTCCCCTCTCTTTTTCTTCAGTTTAAATAGGGACATGTGCATTTTTGGTGTGTTTTTCATGTGTTTTACCGCACTCCAGTACAGTTCTGTGCAGAAAAAATGCAGCATGTTCTACTTTTTTTCTGCAACCGGAACGCACAGGAACTGCATTGCACTGATGTGAACTATGACATTGGCAATCATATTACCTACTTTCTGTGCATTATAGACGCAGAAAAAAAGCAAGTGAAAAGCATGTAGTGTGAACTGGCCCTAAAGGTTTTTATAGGTAAGGGAATGGGACTGACCAGGAATTGTGAAGGCAATCAGACTAGTGGTGAGATTCAATTAGGAATCTTATAATAATGTTAGATCTAAGCTGTAGGTGATAGGAAATTGGACACATCAACTAGATATAAATGAACAGTTAACTGATTCCCATCCGCCCTATAGTAGAAATACTACTACAGGGCCGCAGGGGTGCACAAAATCACATGTATATACCTGATTTTGCATTTCTGGGTAGGGGGGGGACGTGCGCCCTACCCAAGCCACCATTCGTGGCCGCGGCTGTCAATCACTGGGTCCAGGCCAGTAATTACTCGCCAGCGCCCGATGATTTCCGAAGATCTTCGATGGGGAGGAGACTGTTTTGTTTATGAATAGTTGTCCTCCCTGTCAGCTTGGGCACACTGCTCTGGATGGCTGTACACAGCACAGCCATTCAGAGCAGTGTGACTACAGTGAAGCACACTGACACAGCCCCCTATGTAAAACACTACCAGCACACAGTTAACCCTTTGACCGTCCCTCATGTTGAAAATCCCTTCCTGCCCAGTGCCATTAGTACAGTGTCAGTGGGTTTTTTTTTTTAGCACTAATCACTGTATTGGTGTCACTGTGGATGTCAGTTATACCAAGTCAGTTCCCCCCAGTGTCAGAATGTCAACCGCAGTCCAGCTATAAGCCACCATTACTAGTAAAAAAATAAAAATAAAATAAAAATTTCAGTATCTATACTGCCATTTGTAAATGCTATAACTTTCACGTAAACCAATTCATTTACATGTACTGGGATTTTATTCTTAGCAAAGACATGTAGCAGAATACATTTTGATGTGAATATATGAGGAAATTTGATTTTTTTTAAACTTTTTTTTACTGGAAATGTTTAATAGCAAAAAGTAAAAAATATTGTTCTTTTTCTCAAAATTGCCAGTCTTTTTTTTTTTTTTATAGTGCAAAAAATAAAAACTGCACAGGCAATCAAATACCACCAAAAGAAAGGACGTAAATTTCATTTGGTTGCAGTGTTGCATAACCGTGCAATTGTCAGTTAAAGTAACACAGCACCGTAACGCAAAAAATGGCCTGGTCAGGATGTTGGGTAAATCCTCAGGAGGGCAAGTTGTTAAATAAAAAGAGTTGAGCAGTGATATATAGATTTGGGGAAATAGGTGATGACAGTGGTGGGGGGGAGGGGGGGTTGTCAAGTTGTATAAGGAGAGAGAGGTTTGTAGCAGTGAACAGAAGAGGATCAGCAGTCTGGGGGAGAGGTATCAGCTACATAGAGATCATAGAGCTGTGTTGGGAGAAGATAAAAGCTACAGGAATGGAATAGAACTGGTCGGCTGTGACTGTGTCAGGGAGGCAGGGGACCAGGGAGAGAACAGGGGAGATACACAGGCTGGGCAGACAGGAGGCATCTGACAGGAGGAGGAATACAGAAGTGAAGGAGTGCAGGGAGACACCAGGGCACAATCGGAGAGAAACATCAGAGCATGATTGCCGAGATGGGGGATGGGGTGGGGGCAGGGGTGGACTGACAACGCATGGGGCCCCCGGGCAATAGGGGATATGGGGCCCCTGTGTCCTTGCCCAAACTCAAAAAAGTCTATGAAAAAGGTACCAGGGGCATCTCATGGGGCCCCCTACTGACCCCGGGCCCTCGGGTAGTGCCCGAGTTTCAAAATGGTCAGTCCGCCCCTGGGTGGGGGCGATATCTGATAGGCAGAGTGAGTATGGCAAGTATCTGGAACGGGACTGGGAGAGAAACAAAGTTACAATCAAATGTAAACAGAAACTTGAAAGTGTCAAACTTGTGGAGCAGAGCAGGAGCGCAGCTAACATTCATAACACTGAGCCACTGTGTGATAGAATGACAGGAGGCTAACAATGGGATTTAGCAGCTGCAGATCGACTTGTCAGCTGCCCGGGCCCCTCTCTGCAGCTGATGGGGCCGGGCCCCCTACAGGAGGACCGGGGGTACCCCCTTATCAGTGGCCCTGGATATGGCTGTAGTCAGTCAATGGTGGCAATGAATTGTTTGTCCATCTATGGACTTAAATTGATAGCATGATGCGCTCAGCCTCACTCTCTCCAAAACTCCTGCATACCGTGTCCAGTTATGGAGACCACATTACAACAAGATATTGGTAAGATCAGAGATGGGCAACAAAAATGGTGAGAGGTGTAGGGAATAAAACATATCAGTAAAGACTTTAGGAACTTAATACGTATAGTCTTATGGAAAAAGGATAAAAGACAGACATGACTGAAACATTTAGGTACTTTAAGGGTGTGAATAAGGTTCAGAAAGGCAGTATTTTCAATATGAAGCTAAGATCAAGAACATGGGGACATGACCTCGAACAAAGGAGGAAAGTTCAAAACTAATCTTAGAAAGTAAATTACCAAAAGAGTTGCTGATGCTACTGAAAGAGTTGTTAATGCTTGGAATAGACTTTCAGCAGAGGTCACGAGTCAGTAAACATTAAATGGAATCAAGCATGCTTGGGCAAACATAGATCTTTACTGAGACAAAAAAGTAAAAGAATAAAGGGGCAGACTCGATGGCCCACTTGTTCTTTTTCTTCACTCTTAAGTCTGTAGTATGTAGTCAGTAGTGATTCCTAGGACTCTTAGAGGTTGATTTATATGGAATCTGCATAGTAATTCAGCCAGTGAAAGTGCATGTGCATTGGTTCTGTGTGAATGGGGCAAAAAATGAATGTAAATAGGTTAAAAAACTGGCGCTGTTCAAATGCAAATCAATGATGTGAAATGGAAAATACAGCATTTTGCCATTAGATGCGTTAACCACTTCAAGTCTGGATACTTTCACTCTCTTTCTGTCCAGGCCAATTTTCAGCTTTCAGCGCTATCACACTTTGAACGACAATTGCGCGGTCATGCAGCACTGTACCCATATACATTTTTTTGCATTTTTTTGAGACAAATAAAGCTTTATTTTGGTGGTATTTATTCACCACTGGGATTTTTATTTTTTTTGCTATATAAATGAAAAAGTCCAAAAATTTTGAAAAAAGTATTTTTCTTATAAAATTTTGCAAATAAATAATATTTCATCATAGATCTTGGCCAAAATGTATTCAGTTATATTTTTAGTAAAAAAAAAATAACCCAAATTAGTTTAGAACCAAAAATTATAATTTTAAAAAAATGTTATTTACATTTTTATTTTATATTATTATTTATGTTTTTTTTTTACATACTGTCACCCTAGAAGTACAGCGTCACCATAGTGGGGGGTGATGAAGATTTTTTTTTTTTTTACACTGATTGCTTTTACACCCATAAAGGCTGTAAAAGCAATAATTTCTTCTTCTCTGTGGCTGCATTCTTGCAGCCATTGAGAAATACTGTGTGAGCTGTGATTGGTCACAGCTTGTCACATGGTACAAGGCTGTTGTGAATGGCACAGATTTCACAAGATTTCACAGATTTCACACGTAGTAAGCAATGATGTCAGAAGTGACATCTTGCTTACTTCTCTGCATGTGATCACTGACTGGCCTCCTCGCACGGAGGTCCCATTCGACGATCGGTGTTCCACTGTGTCCAGAGGACACAGCGGCACTGGATCGTGGTGCTGCACGCTCCCAGGGAGTGCGCACAGTCCACAATGGCGGGCGCCATTTATGAACGGCAACCCGCCCCTGGACTGCCACTATCTGGCCGTTTATATACAGCGGCCAGACAGCAAGTGGTTAAAGTGATATTAAACTATTTTACTATTATATTATTCCTTCTCTTTCTGTTTGTGGATGATGGCACTGTAATTATTTTAATTAAAAACATCTAAGTACTATTTTCCTAATGGATATACAGCTGCCACATGACCCAGCTCTTTCCTAGCCTGTCTGCAGGGAAACATAAGCAAGAGGAGCTTCTAGTTCTCTGCTGCTGGTCACATGTTTAATATAAAGAAAGAAAAAACAACAGATAAAATAGAATACAGAGTAAAATGTTTATATCAATAAACGGTTTTAAATCATCATACAAATATATATTTAAATTCAAATCTTGATTATTTTTTTTGACAATAACATGGGATGGACAGCTTTCTGCCAGTCACAGGCGGTGTCACTCCCCTCCAGCTTGTGTCTTAGAACAAGAGGGTGGTGAAGCCTCCATCAATCTACATGTAATATCCGATCCCTGTTGTGTTTAGATGGATATTAGGCATGAATGAGGAGGGAGGGAGTGGGCTGTCATTTACCACTGTGTATACACCCACATAGGTGACTCTATAGTCACATGGGCTGCCCAGATGTGATAGGGAGGAAACACATAGCATAGAAACTCACTGAAAACTGAGCATGTGCAGTAGCTGCCAACACTGCTCTACAAAATCCCCAACTGCATTGCAGAATTTCATATAGTACTTTATAATAATAATATTTTTAGTTTAAAATCAATTATTTACTTACAAAAAGAAGAAAGTATAGCCAATCTACATCTGTTTTTCCCTCTTCACACAGCACAAATGTACATGCACTTTCACTGGTTAACTGGCTATGCAAATTCTTTATAAATCAAACCCTTAATGTTTATTTTTTAAAGCTGCATGGAGTTTGACAACATTCTTGTTGTTGCCTGTCAAATAGATAATTACTACACAGAATGCATTGCCTATGTCTCCTTTGCAGACATCTGTGCATTGTGAAGTGAAACTGATTGTGCTGTAAAGTCTATGGGGCTGGCTCAGGGTGTAAAGCTGTGTTGGGTGTAAAGTGTAAAGTCATATACAACGATACTGAAGTTCTTTTCCATTTTCCAAAGTATATTATTGTTATTATTGACTGAGAGGTACAGTTTACATTGGTCTTGTAATGGGCTGCCGTTCTCCTCTTCTGATTGGGCTCCATGAATCTGCCAGTGGTGAGCCCCCACCTCTAGAACCAGTACAGAGGCAGAAGGATGGGGGTTCAATGTCTGAGTCCGCTTCAGCTTTCTGTGAAGAGAAATTCCCACCCTTGGTGTTAAAGAGACTATCACTGGTTTCACATAATCATGAACCATACAAATATTGTTGCATGGTTCCCCCAGTAACACTTATGTAATGTAATGCAGGTCTTATGATATCATAACAGTAGGTTTTTGGGTGAATTTGCAGGGAGTTAGGGAATGCTTCTTTGTTCAAGTCCCCAGCAGAACCTTGACTGCCCTCCTACATCAAATATTTGAAAACATTTAAGTGGGGTCCACTCTCTATTCTGATTCATGGAGACCATATTATTCTAGTGAACTAGAGGAGAGAGGATTCAACCACTTCAAGGTCAATCATAAGTGCCACTTTATCAACCCGGGGACAGGACTGCATACCAAAATGTTAAGAGGACTATGGGGCATTTTGAAATAGAGGAACAACTGAGAATGAGAGATCAAATACTTTATATAGAGCCATAGTTTGTGGAGTTCATGTGGAGCCAGAAACACAAGTATGATCACATGCTCTCTAATGTACTTTGCACTATCACAAAATACTGGCCTCCTGAAAGACACAACTAATTTTTATTCTGACATATGTTCAGATATGAAGTACATTGATAAGTTATTAAATAAATACATTGCTTTTTCATTTCCTTTCTCCTGATGAGTGCCTTTTTTCCTCACAGAACACTAAGGCTTTGGCTCCCAAATAATGAAAAAGTACTGATACTGATTCTCCTGTTTATTGAGTGGTTGTGATTGACCTCAGAATTCTAAGCGATTGCTAAAGATCTGTAATGATCTTGTGTGTGTAAATCAACTTTTATGTTAAAGCTGAACTCCAGGGGAATAAAAAATGCTTCCTTGCAGTGGGGCTGCCCCTGCAAAGTGTAAAATGCTCAATAACTCCAAGGGAACAAGAAAAGCACTTTTACTTATGCCACTGGAGCACAGGGAAGCACTAGCTGCTGTGGGATCAAGTAAGTAAAACTGCTTTTAGCCCTAGACATAAATTAGCATTTAACCCTTGCAGTGTGTGGGGGACAGCCCTACTGCATGGGAGGATGTTTATCCTCCATGGAGTTTGGCTTTATGGACATTTAGCTTTGGCATAATAGTCATAGGAAGTAAGTTGCAACAGTTTTTTCTACTCTGAGCCACACCATTTATTTTTTTTTTTTTTATGAACATTGGTATTGATTGATCAATAGATAACTTACTGAAAATATTAGATAAACAGAAACAATGCTGAAGGCATGACAGCAGCTCAAAAGGGAGGGTACAAGTTGAAATACTCATCATGGCCTCATGGAAAGCAGTAGAACATTATTTTCAAATACTGTTTTATACTGTAGTAATATTGATCAGTGGACCCCCAGGACACGGAAGATGCTATGATTTTTAAATTTAGAATGCATGTCCTGCTAATTGGACACAGGGCTTGCAGTACTGCAAACAGAACTGACCCAGGAGACCTGTTCTACTATTGTGAGCCACTCTTTCACTTCAGTGTATATACTATGATATGTAGATCACCTCTAGGCGAGGATACGTATAGTCATTGCTGATTATTTGGTCTGTTCACTTCTTTTGGAAGGTTTTTATGGATAGCATTTTGTAAACTAATTAAAGCTTGGTAACCTCAGGCAACTTATTCTAAAGCCAGTCAGGCTTTCAGCAATATGTCAATACTAAGTCAGTTTCCTATGCAATGATTACAGTTAAGCTGATTAACAGCAGAATGATTGGTTAATTATGTGTTAATAAGAGAAACTTTGAAAACCTGGACCACTGGTGACCACTGAGGATCAGAATGTAGACCAAGCAGTCGCTTGTGAACATTGTTCTTTTAGAAAAGTGAGCAGTTAAATGTACAAGATTTTATTATAATATTAAAGTGTATCTAAACTCAGGACAAACATTTATTATATTGCAGATTATCAATCCTTAGATTAGTTGGCTGCATTTCTTTAATTTCACCTTTTTTTCTACTTGTACCACATTTTCTGTCCTAGGGTGACAATGCTTACTTACTATATTATATCTATGGAAGAGCAGAGTGGTCACCTGTCAGGGCTCCCAGGTATGACCAGAGGTATGTGACTGACGCAGGGAAACGCAGACTTCAGATATGTTATAAACAATGTAATTTATTAACACTAACCATACAAACATAAACGCAGTGCAATACTAAAACATAACACAGTGCAAACAAACCAAACCAACCACCCACAGATAACAGTACATACAATGCAAGCGTCGTCAGGCAGGCTGGGTCAATATCAATCGGGCAGGTAGGTACATGGGGAGCAAGCGGAGAATAGTTGGGGTCACAAGCCAGGTTCAGCAGGTAGCGGGCAGCAGGGTACAGAGGGTCAGGCAGAGGAGAATGGTCAGACAAGCCAGGGATCAGGAGCAGGAGAATGGTCAGACAAGCCAGGGATCAGAGCAGGGTCAGCAGGGAATCAGACAGGAACAGGGAGCAGGAACAGGATACAGGGCCCAGGAGAAACACACACCAAGGCAGAGTCTGCAGGTCTGAATGTCCCTTAAATACACCAGTATAATTAGTTCCAGGTGTTTGACTGGCTGCAAGGTTGAGTCTCTGATTGCTGGGAGCACCCGCTGGCCAGCCCTGGTACTGCAGCTCATAAGGCAGGTGAGTCCCACTATTGCTGGCCAGTCCATTCCTGACAGTACCCCCCCCCCCCTCAAGGAGCGGCCTCAGGACGCTCCAAACAGACCTAGCTGGGCAAAATGTTCCACCGCCCGGGTCTGGTAACTGGCGGGATATCAAAGACTGGCACACCGGGCAGGACTACGGGCAGCGGCACACCGGGCAGGACTCCCGGGCAGTGGCACACCGGGCAGTGGGGCACACCGGGCAGAGGCACACCGGGCAGAGGCACACCGGGCAGAGGCACAACGGGCAGAGGCACATCGGGCTGGACTCCGGGCAGAGGCACATCGGGCTGGACTCCGGGCAGAGGCACATCAGGCTGGACTCCGGGCAGAGGCACATCGGGCTGGACTCCGGGCAGAGGCACATCGGGCTGGACTCCGGGCAGAGGCACATCGGATTACCAGGCGAAGCAGCAGGCAGCGGGCCACCGGGCGGAGCAGCAGGCAGCGGGTCTGGTAACTGGCGGGATATCAAAGACTGGCACACCGGGCAGGACTACGGGCAGCGGCACACCGGGCAGGACTCCGGGCAGCGGCACACCGGGCAGGGGCACACCGGGCAGGGGCACACCGGGCAGAGGCACAACGGGCAGAGGCACATCGGGCAGAGGCACATCGGGCTGGACTCCGGGCAGAGGCACATCGGGCTGGACTCCGGGCAGAGGCACATCGGGCTGGACTCCGGGCAGAGGCACATCGGGCTGGACTCCGGGCAGAGGCACATCGGGCTGGACTCCGGGCAGAGGCACATCGGGCTGGACTCCGGGCAGAGGCACATCGGGCTGGACTCCGGGCAGAGGCACATCGGGCTGGACTCCGGGCAGAGGCACATCGGATTACCAGGGAAGCAGCAGGCAGCGGGCCACCGTGCGGAGCAGCAGGCAGCGAGGCCACCAGGCGGAGCAGCAGGCACCGGGCCCCCAGGCGGAGCAGCAGGCACCGGGCCCCCAGGCGGGGCGACAGGCATCGGGCCCCCAGGTGGAGCGGGCGGGCGCCGGGCCCCCAGGCGGAGCGGCGGGCGCCGGGCCCCCAGGCGGGGCGACAGGCGTCGGGCCCCCAGGCGGGGCGACAGGCATCGGGTCCCCAGGCGGGGCGACAGGCATCGGGCCCCCAGGCGGGGCGACAGGCATCGGGCCCCCAGGCGGGGCGACAGGCATCGGGCCCCCAGGCGGGGCGACAGGCATCGGGGGCCCCAGGCGGGGCGGCAGGCATCGGGCCCCCAGGCGGGGCGACAGGCATCGGGCCTCCAGGCGGAGCGGCGGGCGCCGGACCCCCAGGCGGAGCGACAGGTCTCAGGGCCCCCAGGCGGAGTGGCACCGGCGCTGGACCCCCAGGCGGAGCGGCGGGCGCCGGACCCCCAGTCTGGCAAGACTGCGGGCACCGAGTCGTCTGGCAAGACTGCGGGCACCGAGTCGTCTGGCAAGACTGCGGGCACCGAGTCGTCTGGCAAGACTGCGGGCACCGAGTCAACTGGCGGAACAGCGGGCACCGAGGCGTCTGGCAAGACTGCGGGCACCGAGTCATCTGGCAAGACTGCGGGCACCGAGTCGTTTGGCAAGACTGCGGGCACCGAGTCGTCTGGCAAGACTGCGGGCACCGAGTCGTCTGGCAAGACTGCGGGGGCACCGAGTCATCTGGCGGAAGACAGCGGGCATCGAGTCAACTGGCGGAACAGCGGGCACCGAGTCGTCTGGCAAGACTGCGGGCACCGAGTCGTCTGGCAAGACTGCGGGCACCGAGTCGTCTGGCGGAACAGCGGGCACCGAGTCGTCTGGCAAGACTGCGGGCACCGAATCACCAGGCACGACAGTGGGCTCTGACTCAATTGGCACGACAGCGGGCACCCACCGGGTCATCAGGTACCGGATTGTCTGGCTCGACAGCGGGCATCGGGTCACCAGGTATGACAGCGGGCACTGGGTCACCAGGCATCAGGTCATTTGGCTTGCCAGCGGGCACCGCGTCATCTGGCAAGGCAGTGGGGCACCGGGTCACCAGGCATTGGATCGTCTGGCTCGACAGCGGGCATCGGGTCACCAGATATGACAGCGGGCACTGGGTCACCAGGCATCAGGTCATTTAGCTCGCCAGCGGGCACCGCGTCATCTGGCAAGGCAGTGGGCACCGAGTCACCAGGCACGACAGCGGGCTCTGAGTCAACTGGCATGACAGCGGGCACCGGGTCATCAGGTACCGGATTGTCTGGCTCGACAGCGGGCATCGGGTCACCAGGTATGACAGCGGGCACTGGGTCACCAGGCATCAGGTCATTTGGCTCGCCAGCGGGCACCGCGTCATCTGGCAAGGCAGTGGGCACCGAGTCACCAGGTACGACAGCGGGCTCTGAGTCAATTGGCACGACAGCGGGCACCGGATCAGGTACCGGATCATCTGGATCAACAGCGGGCATCGAGTCAACTGGCCTAATAGGATCGTCAGGCTGGATCAGTTCATCATGCTGGGTAGAGGCATCAGGCTGAATGCAGGCATCAGGCTGAGTAGAGGCATCAGGCTGAGTAGAGGCATCAGGCTGAGTAGAGGCATCAGGCTGAGTAGAGGCTTCAGGCTGAGTAGAGGCTTCAGGCTGAGTAGAGGCTTCAGGCTGAGTAGAGGCATCAGGCTGAGTAGAGGCATCAGGCTGAGTAGAGGCATCAGGCTGAGTAGAGGCATCAGGCTGAGTAGAGGCATCAGGCTGAATAGAGGCATCAGGCTGAGTAGAGGCATCAGGCTGAGTAGAGGCATCAGGCTGAGTACAGGCATCAGGCTGAGTACAGGCATCAGGCTGAGTAGAGGCATTCAGGCTGAGTAGAGGATTCAGGCTGAGTAGAGGCTTCAGGCTGAACCACGGAAGGCAGGTTCACCGGTTTGGATACTGGCAGGATGGTATTGGTTGGAAAGAATTTTCGCTTTTTTCTGGTTTTAACTACTGGAGCACTGCAAGTAAACGCAGGTCTGCAAACGAATGGAGCAGCTGGAGACAGAGAAGAGCTGGAGGATGGAACAGGGGAGGGAGCAGTTGCTACAGAGGGCTTTTTTACAGGGTTAAAGGCAGGATAGGTGCAACGAGTGGGAACAGGGTACTGACATGCGGTAGATAGCAGGGCAGGAGGAGCTGTTGGGAATGCAGGAATAGAGCTTTGAGGAAATAGATTAGAAGCAGGACTGGGTTTTTGTAAGCTGACTGAGGCTGGGTGCAACAAATCTGTCCATGTCTGCAGTATGGGTTGAACAAAGCTGAGCTTACACAAAGCCTGTCTGACTAAAGACTGCACTGCGTTTATACAATCTCTTAGTATCTGTGGTGAACATGCAGCATAATGCTCCAAGAAGCAATCCACATCATCCTCTAATAACCATACCAGGGACTCTACCTGGTCGGCACTAAATGGCGGCAAAAATTCATCCCTGCATTCGGGGGAACCAGATGAAACCAACTCCGCACAAATCTGAATCAATGGCTGCACCTCAGAGAATTCTGTGCCCTGATCTACTAGAACATGAGCGAGCCGTATACATTCTAGCAGTTCATCCCGGGGATACTCCTTCAGAGTTTGATAAGCATACTCTCTGTCATCAAACACTAGCAGATATAAATACTCAACCTCATCAAGATCCATCCTTCCCATCAACAAGCCAAGATGGCTTCCCTGTGCAGCCACTTCTGGTCAGGATTGGCCTTGGTGTAATGTCAGGGCTCCCAGGTATGACCAGAGGTATGTGACTGACGCAGGGAAACGCAGACTTCAGATATGTTATAAACAATGTAATTTATTAACACTAACCATACAAACATAAACGCAGTGCAATACTAAAACATAACACAGTGCAAACAAACCAAACCAACCACCCACAGATAACAGTACATACAATGCAAGCGTCGTCAGGCAGGCCGGGTCAATATCAATCGGGCAGGTAGGTACAGGGGGAGCAAGCGGAGAATGGTCGGGGTCACAAGCCAGGTTCAGCAGGTAGCGGGCAGCATGGTACAGAGGGTCAGGCAGAGGAGAATGGTCAGACAAGCCAGGGATCAGGAGCAGGAGAATGGTCAGACAAGCCAGGGATCAGAGCAGGGTCAGCAGAGAATCAGACAGGAACAGGGAGCAGGAACAGGATACAGGGCCCAGGAGAAACACACACCAAGGCAGAGTCTGCAGGTCTGAATGTCCCTTAAATACACCAGTATAATTAGTTCCAGGTGTTTGACTGGCTGCAAGGTTGAGTCTCTGATTGCTGGGAGCACCCGCTGGCCAGCCCTGGTACTGCAGCTCATAAGGCAGGTGAGTCCCACTATTGCTGGCCAGTCCATTCCTGACATCACCCTTTGACAGAACTACAGTCCCCCCTTTCCTCATATCCATAATTTGGGGGAGATGTTTTGTTGTCTACAGACGTAGCTGAGAGCAATGCTAACTGAAAATCAGCAGAGGTAGAGAGCACCGGAAGTTCTCAGTTCAGAATTCTGGCAGAATCAACTTTTTTTGTTTTGGTTTTTTTTTTCACTTATCAGACAGATATAACACATTTCTTTCAGTTATATAGTCAACAGATGAAAAGGAGCAAATAAGAGAAGTTCATTGTTAGGGTTTACATACACTTTAAATGTGAACTCTGAGCTCCCTGGAAAGCACTTACATCTAACAGTGAAAGGCAGATGAACAGGAAAGGTAACTCTTTTAATCTTTAGTTAATATATCTCTTCTCTGTAACTGTGGACCAATCGTCCTCAAGTCCTTCCTTAGAGCCAGTACACTGGGTTGTTATATGTGCCTTTTGGCAGACTGATTTGCATTCCACCCCATGCTTGATTAGGCAATGTGTTTTAAAAGTAACAATGTCTGTTGCATCATACACTTGAGAACACCAAACCCACCTATCTATGCCAAATGCTGCTTCAGAAACCACAAATTTGTACCTACCCAAATCAATGTTCCACACCAACACCTTCCACAATATGCAGTCTATTGACTCACCACCTTACATCACCAGCTTTTGAGGTACTGCAATCATACCTACATTCTCTTGCTATTTACAACTATTTGTAAGCAAATCATATTTTTATGAATCCTTTGAAAATTATTTTATCATTGTAATAGTGCGAAGGAACTTCTGTTTGTCCTTTTACTTTGAACCTGTGAAAGAAATTTAAAATTCTGTATAAAACTATATTACATTTTGGATGCTCTGCTTGTGTTTTGTACACACAATGAATTAATAATGTGAAACAAATATATCATATACACTAATACTTAAAAATAAGTCCACCAAAAACAAATAAAAATTGTGATGAAGTACTAAAGTCCTTTAAATCTGCCAAAATCACCACGTGAGCAAATGCCAATAATTGATGTAATACAGTGCATAGATAACTTCACTCAAATGTCACCATGTGCTTCAGAGGAAACCCCCCCCCCCCCCCCAATTCAGTGACACTCACCAAATATTGTGGCCCATCCAAACTTGATAGGCAATCGCACTTGTGGTGAGTGTTAAACGTAATAGAGATCATCAGTCAGCAGGCCCTTCATCAATAAAGACTGATTAAGTGGCGGGACATCCTCCAGATTAATAAACAGTGATCCCCTTCTCTGGATTCCTCTACAACAGCCTAGAACAGAAAGATCAGCCTAGAACAGCCTAGAAAGATCACTAGCACATGGGGAGAGGATGAAACACTACTGCATTTCTGGATGTTAAAGAATGAGGAAAGCTGGGTAGCTGACGTATGAAGATAGATGAGGACTGTCTCTTCCTGTTCTAGGCTGCTGTAGAGGAATCCAGGGAAGGGGATCACTGTTTATTAATCTGGAGGATGTCCCGCCACCTAATAAGTCTATATTGTTGAAAGGCTTGCTGATTGATGATTTCTGTTACGTTTAACACTCACTAGAAGCGCAATTGACTATCAAATTTGGATGGGCCACAATATTTGGTGAGTGTCACTGAATTGGGGGGAGGTTTTTTCCTCTGAAGCACGTGGTGACATTTGAGTGAAGTTATCTATGCACTGTATTTCATCAATTATTGCCATTTGCTCACATGGTGATTTTGGCAGATTTAAAGGACTTTAGTACTTCATCTCAATTTTTATTTCTTTTTGGTGGACATAAGTATTTGTGTATATGATATATTTGTTTCACATTTAATTACTTGCGTTCAGCATAATATCACTTTATTTGTTGTTTTTATGCTATATATAATATTTGTTTTTTATTGGTCTGCTTTTCACTTGTTATTTTATTGTTCTATGAGATGATTTTTTTGTATATTCACTATTTAAGGCAGCAGCACTTCATATATTTCACTTATGCGAGATAATTATTATTAAATTTTATAGTGGTTAGTTTAATCACATTCTAATTTATACATCTTATGAGGAAGTCAAGGAAGTGACGAAATGCATCAAGGGGCGTGACGTTGACGGAGAAACCAGAAGTAGCGGAGTGGCCATTTTAACTGTGGTAATATTGTTTGGCATTCCTGGAAGCTGCTTTATGGTGGAGTCATGGGATCTCTTATGCTATTTATTGGCATTTTTATGTAAGCATATTTATTAAAGCGCGGAGTTATTTATCTCAAACATACTGCACTATTTGGATCTGTTTTCTCTCTATGAATGGTTTTGGAGCACTAAGGAGGCAAGAGTACTGAAAGGAGCATTGGGGGATCAAAAGGTAGCCATGAGGTTCCAGTAGATCTGTATCCATACCCTCCCTTGGATTTTGTTATAAAGGCTGGCGTATTACTTATGTGGGTAAGGGTATGCAATTCAGCCACATTAGATGTGTACACTGAGTGTTCACAAAGTACTATACAGTATATAGTAATAATACACAGAGTGGTTCACTATCATGTGTTTTCATGGTTCACCACGTGTTTTTGCGATTTATGCATTTTACATGAAATTTATAAAGATATTTTTTTGGCATAACTAATTTTGGGATTATTGATGAATTTATTTTGTGAGGATAATACACTGTTAAGTTTTCTTCTATTTTGAGGTACACAGCACTTACTGGATTTATACGGCGAGTTTTAAATTGGAAGAAAAGATTTATGGACTTTATTTTTGTTTTTTTATGCAACAATTGTATGGACACTAAGAAGGTTTATGACAATAATTAATTTATACTTTCAAGGGTGAAAGTAGGACTTTCCTTAGTTATTTTTCACAGGTTTTATACTGTAGATATTATTTTTTGGACACCGATTTACATTTATAAATTCATACATCTTGTTTTGCGCGGTGAATATACACTTGACATATTTTTTATTATAATGCAATAATGTTTTGCACATATTCAAATTTTTTTGACTTATAATGAAATAGCACTCCTATGCATTGCCTACAATTGTAATATTAAAGTAATTGTAAAGGTTCAGCCTTTTTTTTAAATATACCAAACATATTTTACTTACCTGCCCTGTGCAATAGTTTTGCACAGAGCAGCCCCAATCTTCCTCTTCTCAGGTACCACTCCAGCGCTCCTGGCCCCACTCTCCTGAGTGCCCCCAGAGCAAGAGGCTTACTCTGAGCTGCTCGCTCCTGAGCTACCTCTGTGTGTTTATGAGACACACAAATCATGGCATGGCCCCGCTACCACCCCTTCCTTACTGGTTGTGATTGATAGCAGTGGGAGCAATGGCTCCTGCTGCAGAGTTTCAGTCAGTGAGGATAGAGAGGCCCAAGAGAGTTTCTGCTCTAGTGCAAATCACTGGGTCAGGATCAGGCTCAGGTGAGTATAAGGGGGAAGCTGAGGGGGAAGCTGCACACTGAAGGTTTTTTACCTTCATGCC